TGAATGACCAGATTTCCTACTCATTCTCCCCTCACATTGATCCAGAAGGCTATCTTCTACCACACCAGCAGGAGACAAAGAAACACTGTGTCCACTGATGCTGTCAGTGAAATAGGAAAGCACCCAGCTGGGATGTCTGCTGTTGCCCAGTAGGTAGCAAGAGTCCAGGTGTCTGGCTTGCTCTTTGTTGTTGTTGCTGGCAGGACAGTAAAGTGTGTTCCTGGGGCACTTGCTGCTGCTGAATCAGGGAGTCAGTAGACCATCAGCAGGTAAGAAAGTACCTGTCTCTGCTGCCTGATGCTGATGGTAGGAAATAGGTGTCTATACTCCCACTCCGTTTCACTGACAGCACAGAGTTTAGGTGGGGTAGAGCGGGTAAAAAATGTTTCTGTCCTGCTGAGTTCCATGACCTGACCCTTTAGCCAGAGAGAACATGTTTTTCTAAGAGCTTTTAATTTGCCTGTGTCTGTTGGTGATGCCAAGTTACAGACATCTCAGTGATGAGAATAATGGGGAAAATGGAAAATTCTAATAAAATTTAAGGAACTTACTGTGTCATTCCTCAGGTGCTGAGATCCTTAGCCAATCTACCTTCTTATTTCCATCTTCTAGTCTTTATACAATTATTTGTTGAATTTTTCCCAAGGCTTTTGATTGTATTTATCAGGGAAAAGTGAGTCTATACCATTTTGTTCAAAACCAGGAGACACATTTTTTTTTTTTTTACTATTTGTGTATTTCTTTTCTTTTTTACTAGTTGGGTATTTCTCAAGGTTTTGCTTCATATTTTTCATGTTTTGTTGATCTAATAAAGGAGTTCTTTTCTCTATTACAGCTTCAACTTGTTATCCTCAGGTATAAAAAGCTTCTTATATATTGGTCTTGTATGCAGTCACCATGATGAGCTTACTGATTATAAATCAAATTGTGATGGGGTGCCTGGTGGCTCGGTTTGCTAAGTGTCTGACTCTTGATTTTGGCCCAGGTCATAATCCCAGGGTCATAAAATCCAGCCCTGTGTAGGGTTCAATGCTTAGCTGGGAGTCTGCTTGAGATTCTCTCTCTCCCCCCTCCTCCCATCCCACCTGTGCACTCGTTCTAAAAAAAATAAAATAGAAATCAAATTGTGAGTAGAACTTCTAGGATTTCCTGGGCAGATGATTTTGTCATTAGGAAAATTAATGACGGTGTAGATATCCTTGTCCTGGTCTCATATATACTGAGAGTTATTCCAGTTCTTAACCATTAATGATTTCTATGGGCTGAAGTGTGCACCACCGCCTCCCTTCACAATTCCTATGTTGAAGCCCTAACTCCCAGTATCTCAGAATGTGACTGTATTTGAAGATAGGTCTTTATAGAGGTAATTAAGGTAAAATTGGGTCTTCAGTGCAGTCCAAGTGACTGGTATCTTTATAAGAAGAGGAAATTTGGACAGAGATATGGACAGAAGCAAGACCATGTGAAGACACAGGGGAAAACAACCATCTACAAGCCAAGGAGAGAGGCCTGAGAGAGATTCTTCCCTCGTGATCTTCAAAAGGAACCAACTCTGCTGATACACTGACCTCAGAATTCTAGCCTCCAAACTGCAAGAAAATCAATTTCTGTTGTTTAAAACACCAAGTCTGTGATACTTTCTTATGGCAGCCCCAGGAAACTCCTACAAGTTTTTTTTTAAGATTTTATTTATTTATTCATGAGACACACAGAGAGAAGGCAGAGAGAGAAGAAGGCTCCTCACAGGGAGCCTAATGTGGAACTCAATCTTGGAACTCCAGGATCATGCCCTGAACCAAAGGCAGACACTCAACCACTGAGCCACTCAGGCGTCCCTCTCCTACAGGTTTTAACGCCCTTTAAAGATTTCCCAAATTAAGGAATGCCTTTCCATTCTGTGCATTCTATATTAGAAATGGATACTATGTTTCTCAAAAATATTTTTATTATGGAAAAAAAGCACATAACATAAGACTCATCCTGACATTTGTCAAGTGTACATTATAATAATATCAACCACATGCACATTATTGTGCAACAGATCCTCAGAACCACCCGCTCTCATCCTGCATGACTGAAGCTCTACTGAACGACTCCCCATCACTCCCTACCCCCAGCCCTTGGCACCCATCATTTTACTTTGTTCCTATGAGTTTGACTATTTTAGATACCTCATATAATCATGCAGTATTTGTCATTTTGTTACTGATTCATTTTACCTAGTATGACGTCAAGGTTCATGCATGTTGTAGCATATGACAGGATTTCCTTCTCTTTTAAGACTGAATAATATTCCATTATATGAACACACCACATTTTCATTATTCTTTCATCCAACAATGTACAATTAGGTTGTTTCCATCTTTTGGCTATTGTAAATACTGCTGCAGTGCATTTTTCTCTAATGTTTTCCTGTCACTCAGAGAGACTGAAAAAGAAAATTCTTATATACATTAGCTAATGTAACAAATTACCTTTGTAAATTTCTAAAGTTTAAATATTTGCCACTCTACAGATAAATCTTGCCTAATTGTGATTTGTGTTGACTTCTGTTCATTAATAATTTAAGATATTTTCATCAAATATTTTTTCATAATGACTTTTTGTGTGTTCAGGAAGTTTGCATATGATTTGAGAATTTCCTAATTCTTGAATATTTAGTAGTGTTTTCTAGGATAGGAAGTATCTTCCTAGATGTGAGGCAGAGAGCAGAAAAATAAAGTGATTGCTATAGTTAACTATATTCCAAAGAAAACTGTAGTTTTACTAAATCATTTTTTACATAGTCTTTGCTTACTTGTTAGAATGGCACATGTTATTTTATTAATGAAAAGAGAATTCAGGGGTGCCTGGGTGGCTCAGTTTGTTAAGCATCTGCCTTCAACTCAGGTCATGATCCCAGGGTCCTGGGGTCAAGCCCCACATTGGGCTCCCTGTTCAGCAGAGTCTGCCTCTCTCTCCATCTGCCTCCCCCCCTGCTCATGCTTGCTCTCTCTCTCTCTCAAATAATTTTTTAAAAGAGAGAATTCAATAAACAATGTTAAAATAGGACAATATCTACTGAGAATTTCTATGCAATATGAAAATTTCAGCAATATGATGCCATCAATTCCCTCATCTGTAAAATGGAGATAGATAATGGCATCTTCCTTATAGATTTGCTGTGAAAATACTTAGGAGTGATATGCATAAAATGCTTACCATCATGTACATTGGAAAGCAATGCTGTATGCATTTTCCACAAGGATGACTATAGTTTTTTTTTATATAATTGAAAACTGAAGTTCTCAAAATCTATTCTATTGTTACAAAGTGAATCACTTTCAAAATTCTTTTTACAGTCCAATGATCCCTTTGGAATACAAATTCAGGCTTCTGTGTGTAAGTGTGCCTGTGTATACAACTATGTATATATTTTAAAGATTTTATTTATTTATTAATGAGAGACACATCTAGGAAGATACTCCCACAGGGGTGGGAAAGGGAGAAAGAATCCCAGACAGACTCCCCACGGAACATAGAGCCCAACTCGTGTCTTTTTTTTTTTTTAAGATTTTATTTATTTACTCATGAGAGAGACACAGAGAGAGACAGAGACACAGGAAGAGGGAGAAGGAGGCTCCATGCAGGGAGCCCTATGCAGGACTCAATCCTGAGACCTCGGGATCATGCCAAAGATCATGCTCAAACCAAAGGCAGATGCTCAACCACTGAGCCACCCAGGCGTCCCCTATATATACAATTATATTTTAAATAAAACTTAATGCTTTATAATGAAAAAGTATCCTCTTTTCTGACTCTCAGAAACAACTTCTTCATTATAAGTTGTAACTCCGTATTTCTAAATTAGCTCCTTGTACAGCGTTTTCATTTTTCAGCTTTTGACTTTTTCTAATAACTTCTCTGAAAAAAAAATGGCATGCAGTTCTCTTACATATCTTAAAACATAATTCCCCTTGGGCAATGTAATTATTTAACGAATTAGGATAAACCAAAATTCTGTCTGTTTTATTACATAAATGTTTAGCACTTTGTGACATGTGAATCTTATCCGTTGATATGCCATGTAGAAGATTATGAACAAATTTTCTTTCTCATTTTTTTTGACTCTTTGTAAAATTCTTTTTTTGCCCCCTATCTATCCATTGCTGTTTTTTCCCTCTCCACCAGAAATGTAAATGTCTTTTCAGTAGATCCAGAAGCATGGGACAGTCTATCAGTTTAAGTTGTTGCTTGGGGACATCCCTCCTGGGCTTGAGCAAATACGGATGCATACATATACACCTATATCTAAAAGGATAGAGGAGGAAAGGATGTTGTTCTCTGGGCAAAGGACTGGGAGACACTGCTGGGAGTGAGGATATTTTGCTGACTTTGTATCGCTTTCTAAAGTTTTCCTGTATGTGTATCTATAACCTCGTAGCCTCCCCGTCCCCGCGAAATTCTTAAAATAGCGTTAGATCTCTAAGACAAGTTGTAGAGGAATCTGCATATATAATCCCATTTTTAAAGAAATTAAGACAGCAAACATGCACAAAAAAAATAAATAAAAAGCCCTAAATAGGGGCACGTCGTTCAATAGGGTTGTGCGGTGCCGCGGGAACGTGGAGAAAGGACTGCAGGAAAGTTGTCCCTGGCGCGCCCGGCGGCTGAGTGCAGCCACGGAAAGCTCCGCCCCCGGCCCCGCCTCCGGCCCCGCCCCCTTCCCACCGTCCCGCCCGCCGAGCCTGTTCCGGCCACTCTCCCCTGCCGCGGGAATTAGTCTCCGCCCAACGCCCCGCCCCCTGGCCATGACCCCGCCCACATCCCCGCCCCCGAGCTCGTTCCCGCCCACCGCCCCCGCCCCCTGGCCACGGCCCCGCCCACAGCCCCGCCCCCGAGCTCGTTTCCGCCCGCCGCCTCGCTGTTCCCGCCCACAGCCCCACCCACAGAGGAGTCTCCGCCCGGAAGCCTGGCGCCGCCCACAGCCCCGCCCCCGGAGCTGGTCTCCGTCCCTGGTGCTGACCCAGCCCGGGGCCCTGGGACCCTCAATAATTGAGCCGGGAAATCCCCCGCCGGAGGCTGGGGTGCGCGGCGGTCGCCCCTGCCCGCACCACCCCCCCCGCCGGGGCCCCTAAACGTCCTTCTCCGCGGCAGCTCCACAGAGACCGGAACCGGGGCGCGAGGCGGCCCGCCCGAGACCGGAAGCGGAAGCGTGGGGCGGTGCCGCGGAGGGAGCCTCGGGTGGTTTGCTGCGTGGGGTGTGCGGTCTCCTTCGCGCGTGACCGGCTTCACGTGGTATGTCTGGTCTCCCCGGCGAAGGGCCGAACTCGGTGCGCGGCGGGCAGTCCGGGGCTTCCGGCGGGCGCCCAGGGAGGGGCCCGGGCCGCGGGCGTTCGCGGTCGCGGTCGCGGTCGCGGGCTGTGGCGTCCCCGCGCCCCTGCGTCCCTAGCCGGAGCGCCGCAGACCTCCCCCGGGCTGTTTCCGCAGGTCGGTCCCAAGCGGCTGATCCTCCCAGCTCCGGACGCCACCGACCCCGCTCTGAGGGCTGATTTCGCGCACACACACGCACCCCGGGGACGTTGAGCAACGTCAGGAGGCATTGTTTTGGTTGTACAAACAGGGGTGTGGGGAGGCGCAACCAGCATCTCGGGGGTGGAGGCCAAGGGATGCTGCTCAGCACCCCACCCCCCACCCCCCACGACGATGCATTATCAATAAGGCAGGGGTCCAGGAATCCTGCTCTCGGGCTGCAGAATCTCTGAAGTCCCGAGTCAGCCGAGTCACTTACGGGCCCCCTAAGTGACAAGCCGCTGCTTATAAATAAAGTGTCTGGAGTCGGCGGGGCGCCTGCGTGGCTCAGTCGGTTAAGCTTCCGACTCTTGGTTTCCTCCCTGGTCACCCTGTGGGGGGTCCTGGGGTCCATCCGCCTTCAGGCTCCTTGCTCAGAACGGAGTCGGCTTGAGATTCCCTCTCCCTCCCCTTCAGTTCCTCCCTCCACCCCCACCCTCCGCGCGCGCGCGCTCTCTCTCTCTCTAAAGTAAATAAATATTTATTTTTCTAAAGCTTTTATTTATTTATTCATGAGAGAGAGAGAGAGAGAGAGAGAGAGGCAGAGACACAGGCAGAGGGAGAAGCAGGCTCCATGCACCGGGAGCCCGACGTGGGATTCGATCCCGGGTCTCCAGGATCGCGCCCTGGGCCAAAGGCAGGCGCCAAACCGCTGCGCCACCCAGGGATCCCTAAATAAATCTTTAAAAAATAAAAATTGGGGGCAGCCCCGGGTGGCTCAGCAGTTTAGCGCCGCCTGCGGCCCAGGGTGTGATCCTGGAGACCCGGAATCGACTCCCGCATCGGGCTCCCTGCATGGCACCTCCTTCCCCCTCTGCCTGTGTCTCTGCCTCTCTCTCTCTCTCTCTGTCTCCCATGAATAAATAAATTAAATATTAAAAATAAATAAATAAAAATTTGAGAATAGTGTATGTAGTCACCATAAAAATCTTTATCCAGCCAGATGAGTTGAGCAAGTCAAATGCACGCACAGTATGACACAGCTTTCTCCCACTTACGGTGCAGATGGCTGGATGGGAATCAGGTAAATCCAATTTACACTTTAAGTAAATGAAAAACAAACAAAAAAGGATGGGTGGGTGGTCTTTCTGTCTGAGAACTATAACTACCTTTAAAAAGGCCTCAAAAGCAATCTTTGTGCCTTTTTTTTTTTTCTAGACAGGAAAAGGATTTCTCCAGCTCCAGTTTGTGTTAAAACCAGCTTCAGGGCCCACCAGCCTCAAAGTCCACCATCCTCACTGATCCGTGGATTTCGGTGTGACCAGGTGAGTACTTGCAACAGGTTCCAGCAGCTTCCACTGTTCAGAGGAGCTGTTAATGGGCTTTCCTGTGCTCAGGTGGTAATCACAAGAAGCCCCTAAGAGCGAGGGTATCTTAAGAAAAATTATTTGTATGTTTGATAGATTATGTTCAAAGGAAAGATACTAAGGTGAGTGTGGTTATATGTGTGGAAATAAGGCAGTAAATACAGTTATATGCAAATAAGTACACATTAGAAAAATATGTAAATAACTAAATGTGTGTTATTTAGTTATTTAGCTAGGGAAAGACAGATTTTCTTGCATTCCATAATACTAAAAATTTCAGGATTTTATAAATAAGCATAAATATATGAAATTTTTACATATATATGTAGTATTACAAGTCATCCCACTAAAGATTAGCAGGACTACTCAGCAACATTCCTCAGGCCCATTCAATTTGACTTCTAAGCCCTGTAAATCCTCCACAAAGATTCAAAATATATGACAGCTGTGGGGGGAAAAATGCTTTTAACTTCTTTCTATGAATAATAGAAATGTAAAATTGAATGGCCCAGCCACCAGATGCATGTTGAAGAAGTAGATTTTTTTTTTCTTAATAAGATTTAAGATTATTTAGAGGAATATCCAACAACAGCTTAGATTTTGAAGGTTAGGGCACTAGTTTCCACAAAGATTGTCCTCTCTACCTTGTCGTCTGGCAGGAATTAACTTCATTTCTTAAAACTTTTCTGAAATAATAGTCTGATGATTCACATTACAGAGAATCCTGTTAACTATTTAATTGTCGGGTTTTACTAATTACGTGTATGTGCCCCTTTTTCATTCTCGCTTTCCTGTAATGTTTTGGAGGGGAATGTTTATCTGTCATGCAATAGGTATTTTTTGAGTGCACAGTTTATGGAGATCAACCCTCCTTGTTGATTTGAGACTGAAAGGTTTTCCAGGACACAGGACATTTAGTGTTCAAACCAGGACAGTTCTAAGCAACCAGGATGGCTCATCATCTCCCTGAGCCAGACCCTGGGCCAGATGATAGAGACCAAACAGAGAGAGCCAAACAGACCTTGTTCTGCTGCCATGGAATTTATGTTCTAATAGGAAATTGTGATTTTATTTATTTATTTTTAAAGATTTTACTTATTTGAGAGAGAGAAAGCACAGGTGGGGGGGTGAGGGACAAAGGGAGAAGCAGACTCCCCGCTGAGCAGGGAGCCCACTGCGGGGTTCCATCTGAGACTCTGGGACCATGACCTGAGCCAAAGGCAGATGCTTAACCAACTGAGCCACCCAGGCACCCAGGAATTGTGATTTTAAACAACTAATGACGGGAGTGATGTGGGAGCTTGGCAAAGAGCACTCAGTCGAGGGAACAGAGAAGCCTTCTTGAGAAGAACTGATATTTAGCTAGCTGTAGGGTTAGCTGGAGCAAGGATATGGGATTACTTTCAGGAGAGCATATCAGGCAAAGGGAACCACATGAAGACAACCCCCAAAGCAGGAGAGAGCCTTGTATGCTCCAGAAACTGGGAAGACAGGTCCAAATCTAAGACCTGACCTGGTCCAGCCTGCCCTGCTCTGGGCTGGCTCACCTCCTGCCCCCAACTTGGTTGTCTCAGCTCAGCCATTCCTATCTTCCCAGTTCCTGGGAGCCCTGTGACTCCTCAGCTCAGTGACTAGAATCTTCCTAACTGTAAATTGGGTCTCTGGTGGGGAGAAAGGAAACATCCTCCACCTCCACAGCAGTTGTCTGGGTCTCCGGGACTCACTCCAAGCCTCAGGGAAAGTTGGAGGTGAGAGGCAGTATTCATTTCCTGTGGCTACTGTAACAAATTTGCAGAGACTCAGTGGCTTAAAGCAACACAGACTTATTTTCCTGCCATTCTGGGGTAGAAATCCTAAATGGGTCAACAGGGCCACATTCCTTCTGGAGGCTCTAGGGGAGACTCCTTTTCCTTGTATAAAAAAAAAAAAAAAAAAAAACTGGTTTTAAGGAGTTGTTCCCTAACTCCAGGGAAAGGAGGCATTCATTCCATAGATACTGCTCTGAACCTTCATTTTTTTTTCACCTGAATTTATTGAAGATAAGAATTTCTATCAATACTTAGAGGTCCTCCTTTCTTTTTTGGCTGTATGTTTCTTCATTCTTTATTTACTTTAAAGATTTTATTTATTCATGAGAGACACAGAGAGAGGGCAAAGACATAGGCAGAGGGAGAAGCAGGCTCCCTGCAAGGAGCCCGATACGGGACTCAATCCTAGGACCCTGGGAACATGCCCTGAGCCAAAGACAGATGGTCAACCACTGAGACACCCAGGCATCCCATGTTTCTTCATTTTGTGGATATTCCCTAATTTATTGAGCTAATTCCCTATTGATAATCCATTGTATTGCTTCCAGTCCTTTGATATTATAAGTAAGGCCGAGGTGAATCATAGCACCCTTGCCAGTTAGTATTTGTGTATCCTCAAGATGGGCTCCTAGAAGTGTGATTGGCAGGGAAAGTGTAAGTGTTGCATTTTGCTTGAAATTGGCAATTTTCCTTCCATAGAAATTGTGCCCCAGAAGTGTATGAGAGTAGCCTTTACCGACAGCTTGCACAGAGATGTGGTCCACCAGGTCTTTGTTGATCTGACAGGTAAAAAATGGTATCAGTGTAGTTGCAGTGTGTGTCTCTGTTATTAAGAATAAGATCAGGGGATGCCTGGGTGGCTCAGTGATTTAGTACCTCCCTTCAGCCCAGGGCATGATCCTGGAGTCCCAGGATCTAGTCCCGCAGCAGGCTCCCTGCATGGAGCCTGCTTCTCCCTCTGCCTGTGTCTCTGCCTCTCTCTCTGTGTGTGTCTCTCATGAATAAATAAATCTTTAAAAAAAAAAAAAGAATAAGATCACTGTGATTCTATCAAGGGTGGTGTCCTTGAAATGGTAGTGATGGAAACCAGAGTGTCCCGGGTTGAGGAGGGTGTGGAATATGAGGAAATGAGATAGAGAGTAAGACACTTGGCCTGTGGTCAGAGAGAGAGGCTGGCCAGTAACAGAAAGAAAACTACCCTTAAGATAGATTTATTTCACTGCTGAAAACCACTGCATCAGGTTTAAATGGTGTAGGAAAGGATCCAGTAGAGTGGGAGAGCTGGGAGGAAGGGCAGGCAGGAGGCAGTGGGTTGTGTGCAGCCCCTAAAGCAGCAGGTGGACCGGGGCACGGAGCAGAGCCCAAGAGCTGGGCCTTCTGCAGAAGGGGACATGGCTCTGGGTCTGTAACAGGAGGGAGGGCGGAAACCTTGGTGCACGTGGCCATTTGGGCAGCAACGCAGGCAGGTAGATTCATTCTCAGGAAGGTTACTTTGAGAAGTAGGAGGCAGGACCATCTGCCCAAAGTGAGGGTGTGTTTGTTTTCTGTTACCATCTAACAGATTGTCCCAAACCGCAGTGACCGAAAACCATAACAATCATGTGTTATCTCTCATGGTTTCTGTGGTTCAGGAATTCAGGGCAGCTTAGCTAGAAGGTTCTGGCTCAAGGACTTTCATGAGTTCCTAGCAGGGTATCAACTGGGGCTGCAGTGATGTGTGGCATTGGCTGGTGCTGAGGGTTCATGGCCAAGGCCTTTCACTCCCAGGCTGGCCCTGTTGGTGCAGCTGTTGGAAGGAGGCCTTGGTTCTTCTCCCAGAAAGTCTCTCCATGGGGCTGCTCGAGTTCCTTGCAGCGTGGCTAGCACCCAGCCTCGGAAGTCACCTCCAAGGTAGTCTTGTCTGGCAGGTCAGTCTGATGCAGGCGGGTGTGGACACCAGGAGGCCTGGGTCATCGAGGGCCATTTAGGAAGCTGGTTAATGTGGAGGGAGAGGGGAGGGTGTGTGAGGTGTAAAGAGATTCGAGCAGGTGGGTAGGGAGCCACCCTGACTTACAAGACACCCTGCAGGGTCAGGGGCTTTTTGCGTGTTGGTGACCGCGTTTCCCTAGAAGTGGCAGCATTACAGCCCTGGTGCCGGCGGAGGATGGGAGTCCTGCCTAGTTGGGAGTTCTTCTGGGTGAGCGTGAAGGTGGGGCATATAGATGAGGAAATGCGTACGTGAAGGGTCATGAAGTCCAAAGTGGGGAAGCGTGAAGTGAGAACAGGGAGCATTGGGGAAGCAGGAGAGCGGCTGGATGGATCCCTGTGTGGTGAAGGAGATGCTGAGTGAGCAAGGATGTAGTTTAGGAGGCTGGGTTCAGAGACATTTCTGAGCGGTTGTTCTAGATGGTAAAATAGTGTCAGGTGATGATGAGGTCTTGGGTGATGCAGATGGAAGGTGCAGCCAAGGTGGATGGGAACAAACGTGTGACACAGTGAGGTCATCCTCACGAGCTCTGACATCATCCAAGGGTGCTGGGACCAGAGGTTGAAGGACTCAGGGCAGGCAGGTGCCAGCGACCCCAGTTGGTAAAGGGTTGTGCTTGGGAATGTGTGACGACCACCTGGATGGGAAGAAGGTGCCCTGGGACCCAGTGAAGCTGGGGACTTGAGTGGGGTGGGACAGGCATGTGCTGGTCGTACTGGTCAGGACAGAAGAGGACAGGTTATGCCTTCACGTGCCCTGCGCCCATCACCTGCTAAGCAAAGTGAAGACCCAGGACTGGAGAGCCCACTTGCATTTTGAAGGAGGACATGGCGGGCAGGCTGAGGCAGGTTCGTCCTCAGTAGCGGGAGAGGGAGAGAGACTGGGAAGGCTTCCTGTTTCCCGTTTCTTCCAGAGCCTGGCCTGCGTGCACTGTGGGGACAAGAGCACGAGCATCCAGGTTCTCTGTCGGGGTCACAGGATGGCGGCCATGGTTCTGTCTCCCACCTGCGGTAAGTTGGGGGCCCCCAGAGCCCCGGTGTTAAAGGCGCCTGCACCACAGAGCAGGAAAGGAGGGGCTGAGTGGTGAGGCAGGAGTAGAGGCCCGAATGTCCGGGGGTCCCTGGGACCCCAGGTGGTTCTTGGGATTTGGGGATCTGAGCGTCCGTGGGGGTGTCACCTGTGTGGTGAATGTGGGAGAGCCTTTGAATTATACCTTTCATTCTTTCTATAAACTTGATAAAGTAACAGTGCTGTCCCTTGAACTTCAATCTCCTCATCTGTGAAATGGGAATAATAATGTCTTCCTCCAGGGCAGTAAGAGCCTTGGGCCTATTTTTTGGCCCTGGTGAGACAGGGCTGTGCCCTCGTGTCCTGTGAAAGCTCTGTGTGTGTGTGTGTGTGTGTGTGTGTGTGTGTGTGTGTGTGTGTGTGTTGGGGTATGGCCAGTTACAACTAAGTGGGGGAAGCCTCCAAACTGGTGAGTGCCAGAGTATAGAGCAATCCTAGATTCTTCTGACCCATTTCTTCTTCTCCAGCTCAGCCTTCCCTGTACTCGGCCTCCCCTCAGAGAGGATGCGTGGAGGGGGAAGGGTTGGCTCATGGCTTCCTGACAGGCTGGTTACCGGTGAGTCACATACTCTTTTTTTCCGAATCATTATTCCTCTCATCGGCAGTTGGCTTTGTTATCTTTCAGTGACTCAGAGCCCCACAGCGAACCAGGTCTCAGACAGGCCAGGGTCTGAGGGTGTCTGATAGGGGGTTAGGGGCTGCCACAGGAACGTCAATGTTTGTCAGCGTTTTTTACATTTTCATAGTTTCCTCTAGGGTCGCTGTCTACATCGTGCTCTGCTGAGAGTTTTAAGGGGAAGGTAAACTTAAGTGTCCTAGAGTCAAGTAATTGATGATGGCTGTTGGGAAATCACTCATTCACTTACCAAGTATTTCTCTGACATCTACCATGACCCGATCTTATGCTCAACCCTGAGATTGAGGGAATAAGACTGCAGTGTCACAGTCTCACTGGAATAAGAGAATCACCTACGTGTTAGAGGTACGTTTAGCCTTAGGAGTGGGAGTAGGTTGACAGGAGAGGAGCACTGCAGGCTGAGCTCAGAACCGCACCCAGGCATCCTGTGCTTTGGGTTCCCTGTTTCAATCCTGTCATCCTCCTGTTAACTTGGTGGGGGTGGTCCTTGGCTAAGCCATGATGTTTGTGACCACTCAGGACTCGGTGACCTTCGAGGATGTGGCGGTGGAGTTCAGCCAGGAGGAGTGGGCCCTGCTGGACCCTTCTCAGAGAACACTGTACAGAGATGTGATGCGGGAAAACTGCAGGAACCTGGCATCTCTAGGTAAGCCTGACCTCAGCCCTGCATTTATTTCATGATGCAGGTGACAAAGATAACATGATGCAGGTCCTCTTTTTTTTTTTGTTTAAGATTTTATTTATTCATGGGAGGCACAGAGAGAGAGAGAGGCAGAGACATAGGCAGAGGGAGAAGCAGGCTCCCTGCGGGGAGCCCCATGTGGGACTCGATCCCAGGATTCCAGGATCAGGACCTGAGCCAAAGGCAGAGGCCCAACCACTGAGCCTCCCAGGTGCCCCTCCCTCCTTTTTCAGTTGACATGACATTCACAAACATGAAATTTACCACTGTGACTATTTTAAGCTTACAACTCAGTAGCTTTCCATACAGCCAGCAGCCCTAACATATCTAATTAAAGAACATCATCCTCACCCCTCGGCCTCTCCCTATCAAGTGCTCAGTCCCCATTACCTTCCCCCCAACCCCTGCTGGCCACCACTAATTTACCTTCTGTTTCTATGGATTTGCCTGTGGAGAACATTTAATATCATTGGAATTTTAAAATACGTGATGTTTTTTTGTCTGGCTTCTTTCAGGCAGCATAATGGGGTTTTTTGTTTTGTTTGTTTGTTTGTTTTTTTGTTTTTTAATATTTTATTCAAATTCAGTTTGCCAACATATAGTATAATGCTCAGTGCTCATCTCGTCATGCGGGCAGCATAATGTTTAAAAGTCCAGCTGTAGTGTTTCATGTACCAGTTCGTTATTCCTCGTTATGACTAAATAGCATACCTTTTTATGGGTCTACCATATTTTTAAAATTCATTCATCAATTGATAAACATGGGTGGTTTCCACTGACTGGCTGTTATAAACAATGCTACTATGAATATTTGCGTTCAGGTTGTTGTCTGAACATGTTTCTACTTTTGTTGGGTATGTGTCTAGGAGTGGAATGCTGGGTCACATATTACTACGTTGAGCTTTTGGAGGAACTGCCAAACTATTTTCCACAGCCGCTGCACCAGGGTGTGACGGTTCTGATTTCTCCATGTCTTCGCCAACATTTGTTTTTCTTTTTTTTATTATTATTATTATTATTATTATTTTTATTTATGATAGTCACAGAGAGAGAGAGAGAGGCAGAGACATAGGCAGAGGGAGAAGCAGGCTCCATGCACTGGGAGCCCGACGTGGGATTCGATCCCGGGTCTCCAGGATAGCGCCCTGGGCCAAAGGCAGGCGCCAAACCGCTGCGCCACCCAGGGATCCCTTTTTTTTTTTTTTTTTTTTATTTATGATAGTCACAGAGAGAGAGAGAGAGGCAGAGACATAGGCAGAGGGAGAAGCAGACATAGGCAGAGGGAGAAGCAGACATAGGCAGAGGGAGAAGCCAACATTTGTTTTTCTGACCATAGCCATCCTCGTGGTTATGAAGTGGGATTTCGTTGCTGTTCTGATTTGCATTTCCCTCATGACTAATGACCTTGAGCACTTTTTCACGTACCCGTGGGCTGTTTGCAGATCTTCTGTGGAGTCCTTCACCCAGTTTGAAATTTGATTGTTTATCTTTTGTTCTTGGATTATAAAAATATATTATATATTGTGAATACTGGTCCCTTATCCACAATATGATTTGGAAATCATTTCTCCCATTTTGTGATGTATTTTCATTTTCTTATGTCCTTTAACACATGAAAGTTTTAATTTTTTTTAAAGATTTATTTATTTGAGAGAGAGAGAGAGAGAGCGCGTAAGTGGGGGGTGGGGGAGAGGGAGAAGCAGGCTTCCCTCTGAGCAGGGAAGTCTGATGTGAGGCTCCATCCCAGGACCCTGAGATCATGAGCTGAGCCAAAGGCAGGTGCTTAATCAGCTGAGCCACCAAAGCACCCCAAGTTTTATTTTTTTTAAGTTTTGATTTAAATTCCAGTTAGTTAACATACAGTGTTAGATTAGCTTCAGGTGTACAATACAGTGATTCAGCACTTCCGTACATCACCCAGTGTTCATCACATGTGCCCTCCTTAATCTCTACACCTACTTAACCCAGCCATCACCCACCTCCCCTCTGGTAACCGTCCGTTTGTTCTCTATAGTTAAGAGTCGATTTCTTGGTTTGTGTGTGTCTCTTCCCCCCACCCCTTTCCTCATTTGTTTTGTTTCTTAAATTCCACATATGAGTGAAATCCTGTTTTTCCAAACAAGACATCTGGATAGCCAACAGACACATGAAAAGATGCTCACCATCACTCAATATCAAGGAAATTCAAATCAAAACTACAGTGAGAGATATTACCCCAGAGCTGTCAGAGTGGCCAAAATCAACAACACAAGAAACAACAGGTGTTGGTGAGGATGTGGAGAAAGGGGAGCCCTCTCACACTATTGGTAGGAATGCAAACTAGTGCAGCCACTGTGGACAACAATATGGAGGTTCCTCAAAAAGTTAAAAATAGAACTACCCTATGACTCAGCAGTTGCATTCCTAAGTATCCAAAGAATACAAAAATATTGATTTGAAGGGGCACATGCACCCTGATATTTATAGCACCGCTATCAACAATGGCCAAATTATGGAAAAGCCCAAAGTCCATCAACTGATGAATGGACAAAGAAGATGTGGTGTACATTTGCTTCAACGTGGATGGAACTGGAGGGTATTATGCTGAGTGAAGTAAGTCAATCGGAGAAGGACAAACAGTGTATGTTCTCACTCATTTGGGGAATATGAATAATAGTGAAGGGGAATATAAGGGAAGGGAGAAGAAATGTGTGGGAGATATCAGAAAGGGACACAGAACATAAAGACTTCTAACTCTGGGAAATGAACTAGGGGTGGTGGAAGAGGAGGAGGGCGGGGGGTGGGGGTGAATGGGTGACGGGCACGGAGGGGGACACTTGACGGGATGAGCACTGGGTGTTATTCTGTATGTTGGTAAATTGAACACCAATAAAAATTAATTTATAATAAAAAAAAATACTAATTCCAAAGAGATACATGCACCCTGATGTTTATAGCAGCAATGTCCACAATAGCCAAAATATGGAAAGAACCCAGATGTCCATTGATAGATAAATGGATAAAGAAGATGTGGGGTGTGTGTGTGTGTGTGTGTGTGTGTGTGTGTGTGTGTGTGTGACTTAATGTAGTCAAACTTGTAGGACAGAAGTAACTATAAGGCCATAAATTGTTAGGAGGCTTAAATTGAGTTTAAAATCATATACATGTGAATAAATAAATAAAATCTTTAAAAAAAAATCTCTGTGTCTCTCATGAATAAATAAAAAAACTTTAAAAAAAAAAAAAAAAAAAGAAGATGTGGTGTATGTATACAATGGAATATTACTCGGCCATACAAGAGAATGAATCTTGCCATTTGCAATGACGTGGATGAAACTAGAGAGTTTTGTGCTAAGCGAAATAAGCCAGTCACGGAAAGTTTTAATTTTGATAAAGTTTTTATTTTGATGGATAACTATCGTTTTTCTTTTTTTTTGCTGTTCCTTTGGTATCATACCTAAGAAGTTATCGCCAAACCCACCAAAGCTTTGAACATTTATCCCTGCTTTCTTCCAGGAATTTTTCTAGTTTCTCTTCAATTAGGTCTTTGGTCCTTTGCCCATTAATTTTCAGTATAGCTTAGAGAAAGTGCCAGTTTCATTTTTTTTTGCTTGTGTTTACCTAGTTACCCAGCATTTCTGTAGGAGACTTTTCTTTCCTCCTTGAATTATTTGTACTCCCTTGTCAAAAATTGACCACACTTGGGAGTTTCTATTCACTCAGTCCCATCCCATGGATCTTTATACCTCTCCTTATACCAGGACTGCAGAATGTCCATTACTCTTGCTTTGAAATAAGTTTTGGTGTCAGGGAGTGTGAGAATTCCTATTTTGTTCCTTTTCAAGAGTGTTTTGTCTATTTGGGATCCTTTGCAAGTTCATGTGAGTTTTAGGCTTCGTTTGACCATTTGTACAAATAAAAGCTGTTGGAATTTTGGTAATGATTGCACTGAACCTGTAGATCACTGTGGTGAGTGTTGTCATCCTAACAATATGAAGTTTTCCAATACACATCTTTCTGTTACTAATTTTTTATTTGATCCTGTTATACTCAGAGAAAATACTTTGTACGATTTCACTGTTTTAAAATTTATTCAGACTTGTTTTATGGCCTCACATATGGTCTGACTGTTGTGGAGAATGTTCCATATGCACTTGAGATGAATGTGTCTTCAGTTGTGGAGCAGAGTATTTTATATGTCTGTTAGGTCTAATTAATTTGTAAGATTGTTTAAGTCCTCTTTTTCCTTATTAACCTCCTAACTAGTTGTTCTGCCCCTTGCCAAAGTGGGGTGTTTGCAACAAAGTTTGGAACTATTGTAGAATTTCCTATTTCTCCTTTCAATTCTGTCAGCTTGAAATTTAATATGTAGAATTCTGTTGCTACTGTCTGTAATGGTTACATCTTCTGGATGAGTTGACCTTTTTTAAGAAATTTTTTAAATTTATTCATGAGACACACACACACACACACAGGCAGAGACACAAGCGGAGGGAGAAACAGGCTCCATGCAGAGAGCCTGACATGGGACTCGATCCCGGGTCTCCAGGATCAGGCCCTGGGCTGAAGGTGGCACTAAACCCCTGAGACACCCGGGCTGCCCTGAATTGACCTTTTTATCATGAAATAATTTTTTTGTGTGTTGTAATAGTTTTTGTCTTAAAGTCTATTTTGCCTGAAATTAACATAGCTACATTCTCTTTTGGCTGCTTCTTGCATGGAATATATTTTTCTATCTGCTGACTTTCAGCCCCTTAGTGTGTTTAGATATAAATTGAGTCTCTTATAGATAGCATATAATGGAATATTTTTTATCTATTCTGCCAAAATCTGCCTTTTAATTGGACAGGCTAATCCATTTACATTTAAGGTAATTACTATTAAAGATTCATGTAGGTAGGCCATTTTGTTATTTTCAACATGCCTTACACCATTTTTGTTCCTCAGTTCTTTCATTGTTATTTTTGTGTTAGATGTTTTATAGGGGGCCACTTTGATTCCCTCTCATTTCTTTTTGGTTTTTGGTTATTTTTTTAAATGGCTGTCCTAGGGATTACAATGAACATTTTAACTTATAGCAGTCTATTTTGATTTAATTACCAACCATGTTTCAATAGCATACCAAGATACCAAGTTTTTGCTCTTGTATAGGTGCACATACACCACCCCCTTTATATTGCCTTTTCACAAATTATATCTTTATACTTTCTATGCCCATTAACATAGATTCATAATTACCGGTTTGGACATTTCTCTTTGAAATTATATAAGAAAAAAAAGAATTTCAAGTCATAAATTTGAGTTAAAACCAAAAATAAAGAGCCAATTATTATTGCCTTATGTATTTCCATTTATCGGGTTCTTTGTTTCTTTGTGTGGATTTGAGTTGATATCCATTATCCTTTCATTTCAGCCTGAAAGCCTCCCATTAGCATTTCTTGTAGGGTAGATGTGCTAGTGATCTCTGTGTCTCTCAGTTTAGCCTACTTGAGGTTTCTTAAGCTTCTTGGTTGTATACATTTGTTTCTTTCATCAGTTTTTTGGAAGTTCTGGCCATTATTTCTTCAAATATTCTTTCTACCTCATTCTCTTCTCCACTACAGGAACTCCCATGATATGTATGTTGGTATGTTTGATGGTATCCTATAGATTTTTAGGGTTCTGTTCATATTTCTTTCATACTTTTTTTTCTATTCTTCTGATGAGATAGTATAAATGCTTATAGATTCTTTCTTCTGCCCGCTTATTTCTGCTGTTGGACACATCCTCCAAATTTTTCATTTCAGTTTTTTACTTTTCAATTCCAAAATTTTTTACTTGTGTTTATAATTTCTATCTCTTTAACACGTGTTCTATTTCATGAGAATTCATCCTTAAGGTTTCCTTTATTCTTTTTTTTTAATTTTTATTTATTTATGATAGTCACACACAGAGAGAGAGAGAGGCAGAGACACAGGCAGAGGGAGAAGCAGGCTCCATGCACCGGGAGCCCGACATGGGATTCGATCCCGGGTCTCCAGGATCGCGCCCTGGGCCAAAGGCAGGCACTAAACCACTGCGCCACCCAGGGATCCCTCCTTTATTCTTTATATGGCTTTCTTTTCGTCTTTGACCATACTTAAAATAGTTTATTTAAGTTCTTTGACTAGTAAGTCTGATGTTTGGGCTTCCTCAGGGAGGAATTTTTTTTTCCTGTGATGGGCCACACATTTGTTTTTTGCTTGCCTCAAAATCTTGTTGAAAACTGGATATTTGGAACATTGTTATATGGCAATTCTGGAATCAGATTTTTCTCTATCACTAAAATTTTTTTTGTTACTTGTATGTTGTTAAATGATACTCCTGAACTAATTTTGTAATGTCTGTATTTCTCACATGTGGTCCCTAAAGGCTGTTTTGTTAACTTCATGGCTAGCTAGTAGTTTGTCAGAGATTAAAAACCTGTAGTCTCTGCAGATGTGTTCTGCATGTGTGTATAGGGCATACCTGCAAAATCATCAGGTGGTTTACAACTCAGCCATAATCGTCACTTTCTGCTTGTGCAGGACTTGAAGGTCAGCCAAAGCTGAGGACTTAGCACTGTTTCAAGTCTTTTCTGAGCATGTGACCAATCCTGGCTTTCTAGATTTAAAGAAATAGGAGGGAAAAACATTTTTTAAAGATTTTATTTATCTGAGAGAAGAGAGATCATGAGTAGAGGGGAAGGGTAGAGGGAGAAGCAGATTCCCTACTAAGCAGGGAGTCCCAATGTGGGACTTGATCCTAGGACCCTGGGATCAAACCCTGAACCAAAGGCAGACGCTTAACTGACTGAGCCACCCAGGCACCTTAGGAAGGAAATTTTTAAAAATTTACCCAAACAGATTTACCCCAAAGATAACAGATGCAATGAAATGCCGGGACACCTGCACCCCGATATTTATAGCAGCAATGTCCACAATAGCCAAACTGTGGAAGGAGCCTCGGTGCCCATTGAAAGATGAATGGATAAAGAAGATGTGGTTTATGTATACAATGGAATAGTACTCAGCCATTAGACACGACAGATACCCACCATTTGCTTCAACGTGGATGGAACTGGAAGGTATTATGCTGAGTGGAATAAGTCAATCGGAGAAGGACAAACATTATATGGTCTCATTCATTTGGGGAATATAAAAAATAGTGAAAGGGAATAAAGGGGAAAGGAGAAAAAATGAGTGGGAAATATCAGAAAGGGAGACAGAATATGAGAGACTCCTAACTCTGGGAAATGAACTAGGGGTGGTGGAAGGGGAGGTAGGCAGGGGGTGGGGGTAACTGGGTGACAGGCACTGAGGGGGGCACTTGATGGGATGAGCACTGAGTGGTATTCTATATGTTGGCAAATTGAACACCAATAAAAAATAAATTTATAAAAAAAATTTATAAAAAAAAATTTCCCCAAACATCTTATTCCACACTTTTCCTCCCAAGTTTCTTGGCTAGTCTTTTGTTTTCTGGGCTATTTCATATGTCTCTGGTGACAGTGGCTAGTATATTTGCCTTTATATGTGTTCAGCATGTGCCCACTGAGTAGGCAGCTCAGCCTTTGGAGAGTTTGGAGTTAAATAAAGGCAAGCCCTTTGAGCCAAACCTGCAGAAAGGTCAAAACAAATAACCACAGAACTTGGAGAATAAGGTCCATCCTGCTCCCTCTTGTCCTAGAAATGTGGGCTGTCATCTTCAAGGTCACAGCCAAAGCAGGACATAGAGGATGAGACAAGGGTCAGTCAAAATGTCAGCTGGTTGTTGTCTTTGATTAAACATTTTCCAAGTTGCTGTGAACTTTTGTAAGTTTCCAAAGTTCTGATAAAGTTGATTCTGATGGTTTTCCCCAGTTCACCATTTTTGTAAAGTTACAGACTTTTGGTTCAGTTTCCCTCAGTTTTCACTATGATCACTTCTCACAAGTCTTTCTGAAGCACTTCTGTGTCCTTGGATCAATACTGTCTTTAGAAATAGTGATGAGTGAGTCCTCACCCTCATGGAACTTTTTGTGTGATGCCTTCTCTGTGAATGAACAGCTGTTGCTTGCCCTGACTTTATATTCTCCATGGTTAAAAGCTTTAGAGCTTCTGATATATATGTAAACTTGGACATGAACTCTGGGACTGTTTATGTCCTGTCATCTGGACATTGAGTTTGCTTGAATTTTTGCTTCTTGAGAGTTACTATATTCACTAGAGTGTATGCATAGTTACTCCATTGCTGCAAAAGTCCTACTCGATCATCTTCGGAATTGTTGGTTCCAGTTTCATAGGATTACTTGTCACCTGCACAGTCACCCAACATCATGTGTCTTTCCTCTTTGAACAGGATATCATGTTGATAAGCCCAGTCTGATCTCCCAACTGGAGCAAGAAGACAAGGTGATGACAGAGGAGCGGGGAATTCTCCAAGGCACCTGTTCAGGTGAGCACCAGGTAGACAGGTGGATATGCATCTTTTTGAGGAATAGCTCTGGCCGGTGATTTGGAGCATGAGAGTATTACATTTAGGAAATGTCAATCAGGGAAGTTTGTATAGTGTCCTTTTTTCTGACAGAGATGGTCAAGAATTTTGGTATGAGCTTCCCTATGTATGTTTTTTCACTCCTTTTTATCTTTCTATTCAACACCTCAAACATTACCTTGGACTTGGAGGGAAAAAAAGACCTCTTTTCCTTTTTTTAAAAAATTAAAGTGTAGTTACATGCAGTGTTAAATTAGTTGCAGGTGTACAATGTAGTGATTTGACAAGTTTAAGTTACACTATGCCCACCATAAGTGTAGCTACCATCTGTCACCATACAATGCTATTATAGTTCTTTACCTTTTTAAATAAATCTCATATGAGCACTTTTTCCAATTCCTTCCTACTTTGCATTCCTGATAATCCCTTCTTCTGTAAATTTCTCAATGGTCTTAATCATCTTTGAATCACTTTTTAAAAACCTACAATTTTCATATTCCTATCTCTTTCATGGCAAACCTCAAATATGCTGACCCCTCAGAGTCTGCATTTACTCATATGTGCATTTTTTTTCTCCATCAACTTTAATTTCTTTTTATTTTGTTTCAGATTTGGAGACTGTACTTAAAGCCAAATGGTTAACTCCTAAGAAGCATGTATTTAGAAAAGAACATTCTAATGGTATAAAAGCGGTAAGACTAAGATAGCTGATTTCTGGTTTTTCACAGTAGGAGAATAAGTTAGAAAAGTCACAAAGTTAACAGAGTCATTAAAGAAAACTATCATTTATACATGAGGAAATTGTGTCTGTGGAAAGATAATGAAAAGTATGAAAAGTTGTCAGTTTGGAGAAAACTATAAATTAGCTCCAAACTTGTTTCCTCACTGGGAGTTTCCACAAGTAAATATTTATTTAAATGTGACTAAGATATTGACTGCTGAAATATAAAGTGGTCTTAAGTTTATTAGAAGATGCTCTGTGATTATGATGAGGACTTGTGGCAAAGTGTCTATCTTTTATAACTTCTGAGAGCCCAAACTGCGCAGAAGCCATATACATGAAAATAGCCAAAACATCATTTGTAATAATGAAACAGAATCCCTGGGAAAGAGAGTCCATATGCATAAAATTCATTGAATATTAAAAATAGTATAAATTATAGTTATCATTCATCTCTTAACCAACAGGAAAGAAGTCACCTTGGAGTGAAACTCAATGAATGTAACCAGTGCTTTAAAGTCTTCAGCACAAAATCTAACCTCACTCAGCACAAGAGAATTCATACTGGAGAAAAACCCTATGACTGTAATCAGTGTGGGAAATCCTTCAGCAGTAGATCTTACCTGACTATTCATAAGAGGATACATAATGGGGAGAAACCCTATGAATGCAATGACTGTGGGAAAGCCTTCAATGACCCTTCATCCCTTAGACTGCATGTGAGAATTCACACTGGAGAAAAACCCTATGAATGTAATCAATGTTTTCATGTTTTCCGCACTAGTTGTAACCTAAAAAGCCACAAGAGAATTCATACAAGAGAGAATCACCATGAATGTAATCAGTGTGGCAAGGCCTTCAGCACGAGGTCCTCCCTTACTGGGCACAACAGTATTCATACAGGGGAGAAACCTTACGAGTGTCACGATTGTGGGAAAGCCTTTAGGAAGAGCTCATATCTGACCCAGCATATGAGAACTCATACTGGAGAAAAACCCTATGAGTGTGATCAGTGTGGAAAATCCTTCAGCAGTAGCTTTTCTCTGACTGTGCACAAGAGAATTCACACTGGGGAGAAACCCTATGAATGCAGTAACTGTGGGAAAGCATTTAATAATCTCTCAGCTGTTAAGAAACACGTGAGAACTCACACTGGAGAAAAGCCCTACGAATGTAATCACTGTGGAAAATCTTTCACCACTAACTCTTACCTTTCTGTGCACAAGAGGATTCATAATAGGTGGATATGAGTACAGTAACCAGGAAAATATTCGTTGATTTCTCATCCCTCTGGCAACCGATGGTAACTCACTAGATGTATGCGTTATCTGTTGCTGCATATTTCCCTCTAAAACATTGTGGCTTCAGACAACATACATTTATCTCACAATTTCTGTAGGTCAGGAATTTGGAAATGGCTTAGCTGTGTAGTTCTGGCTCAGGATCTGTCATGAGGTGAGGTCAAGACGTCAGCTGGAACAACACTCATCTGAGTCTTTACTGCTGAAGAATCTACTTCCAAAATGGCTCACTCACGTGTCTGGCAGGTTAATGCCAGTTGTTGGCAGGGAACCTTCGTTACCTCACTCTCCACAGGGCTAAGTATCTTTATGATGTAGCAGCAGGTTCCTCCCAAAGCATTTGATCTGTGGGAGAACTAAATGCAAAAGCCACATTGACTTTATCAACCTAGCCTCAGAAGGACATATTATCACTTCTTCCAGACTGTATTGCTCATATAATGTGGGAAGAAATTACACAGGGTATGTATATCAGGAGACGACAGATTGTAAGAAACCATCTGAGAAGCTTGCCATGAAATCAGTGGAGAAAAGCCTTTAGCAGACTCTCATTCTATCCTATATGAAGTAGCCTTCAATAACTCATATTAATTCGCTCTGGAGAGAAATCTCACATGTGCAAGCTTTGTGGTAAGCTTGTCAGCTCAAACTCACCCCAATGTGCAGAAAAGATTATGTATGGGGAGAAACCTGAGGAATGCAGTAGCTGTAGGAAAGCCTTCATGATATTTCTAGGGAGTCAGGTGACAGTTCACACTATGGAGAAAGCCTTTTCAATATCATCAGAATGCAAAAGCCTTCAGGGACACTCATCCCTTAGAGCACATGTGAGAAACCACTAGAGAGGAATATCTGTAGAAAGAATGTGGAAACCCCTTCAGCACAAGTCTTTGCATTAACTGAGCAAAAGATGGGGAAATATTCTGAATACAATTACTATGGGAAGGCCTTGAATGTTCTCTGAATTTTTAAGAAGCATGAGGATTTCTTCTGGAGAGAAAGTCCTATTGAATGTCATCAGTACTGGAAAGTCATTTTTCCACATTCCTTAGGAAACTGAGAATTCACTGCAAAGACGCTTGTGAATATAAAGACCAAGGGAATGCCTTTAATAATACCTCCTACATTAGGAAAAATATGAAGTTTTCTCTGGATGCAAAACTTGTGGGTGTATTAATTTTGAAAAATCTTTCAGTGATTCTTTGTTGATTTATGAGAACTGACTTTGGAGGCAAACCCTGGAAAAGTAATCAGTATGAGGATGCCTCCGCTCTTTACTGAGTGGCCACAAAATAAACTGGGACCAGACATTTATTAATAGATAGTTGAGTGTGGGATTACTTTTACAGTGTCTCATCCTAAGATTGGGCCACGAGTTTGTTAGTTTTTAGTCTTTTTGTTTTAGTATAAACACTTATGTCTAGAGCCATACTCTAAAATAAATGTTAAGTTATGTTCCATAGTTTTGTATTTAGTATGTTTGCTATAATTTACTCTTTAAAAAATCAGTACGTAGCATATTCAAAAAAGCATTTCTGAATATCTCCTGAGTGAATTAGTTTATCATAGAGGAAATTAGACTATATTTACTATATACTTTTCCTAGTTTAATGGCATTTTTGTCAGGTAAGTGGAGTTTATGACACTGATTCTTTTTTATCTTTCTACCCTGGTATGGTATTTTGTTTAGCTTCTTTCCCAATGTCCATTCTCCCCTACTTATTTACTTTAAAAATGTTTTCGTTGTTGTTCAAGCTGTCAATGAGCAGGATTGAAAATACTCAATCTCCAAGGCTTCTTTGAAGCCCAGAGGGGTATTGCCTTGCTCTGCTGACCATGAGAAATAGGTAGGAGTCACTAAGGAGAACATCATCTGACTTGTTTGCCTCACCTATATTCTGTTCATCTTACCTGTTCTTTCTCTTGAACGTGGACTCAAGGCAAGAGTTGAAAGAGCTATATTTTGATCATGATGACAAAAACCACAGTGCAGCAAAAAATCACAATGATATGGGCTCCTCCAAAATCTCTGATTGGCAGTATCAGCTCTGGACTGCTTGTTCACAGACTTGTCCTTATATGATTAAAAATAACCTCTAACTGGTTGAAGCCAAAGTCATTTTTATTTTTTGGTTTGTTTTTGAGGTGGTATTCTGTTCATGTCCAGCTGAATGCAATATCTAACTAGTCAACCTATTAGTTGGTCACATTTTGTAAGTGTTCATGTTTCTTTGAAAATAATGTATATTCTCTAAGTTTTAGATGTAGAGTATGTGCCTATTAACTCAAGCTAATTGTGTTTTCAGAGATAGTATGTACATTCAGATTTTTGTCCTCAGACTTATTTAATGATAGATATGTATTAAAGTCTTCTGCTCTGGATATGGATTAACACTTTTTTGCCATTTCTGTCATTTTTTTCTAATATATATTTTGACATATAACTGAGTACATTCAGGATTAGTTTTTTTTCTTGTGAATTGTTCCTTTTTATGTAGTGGTCATTTTTTATAGTGTTATTTCAATACATTAATAAAGGACTAAACATTTACATAGCCCTTCCTATAGGCGAGGCATTCTTCTCAATGCCTTATGAATATTAACTTACTGAGTACTCAATATAAGCTTAAGGAAGCATGTACTGTTATTATCCCCATTTTACAGATGAGAAAACTAATGTGGTGTACCTGTAATTTACCTGAGCTCCCTGTCTAGTAAATGGTAGAGCCAAGTTTTGAACCCAGACAGTCTGTGCTCTTAACCACAAATCTTTCTATTAAATATATTCTATATGCTAGGCACTGTTTAAGACACTGGTGTTTATAGCAATGAATGAAACTCAAGTTTTGTTATTGAAGCACTTACGTTTTAGTGGGGGAAAGATGGATTATAGAAAAATCAAGAAAACATGCAACATAAGCGTTCAACAGAAAAGCAAAGCACTGGGGCACCTGGGTGGCTCAGTGGTTGAGTGTCTGCCTTCAGCTCAGGTCATGATCCCCAAGGTCCTGGGAACAAATTCTGCATCAGGCTCCCTGCAGGGTGCCTGTTTCTCCCTCTGCCTATGTCTGCTTCTGTGTGTCTCTCATGAATAAATAAATAAAATCTTTTTTTAAAAAAAAGAAAAAACCAAAGCATTATAAAATAGTTAAGGGAGATTGGGATCTTACCATTGTATATAAAATAGGAAGGGAAAGCCTTTTAGTTAAGGAACACTTGAGCAGAGACCTTAATGAGTTGAGACAGTGAGTCATGAATTTGTGTGGCAAGAGCAGTCTTGGCATGCAAAGTCTCACAGCATAGAAGCCAGTGACACTGGAATAGAACAAGCTGGGGACAACAAAAGTGTGGTAGAAGTTGATATGGTCAGAGACATGGTGGATCCTGATCTTGTTGGGTCACATTAAGACTTTTTCTTATACTTGGAACAAGTGGGCATGTCAGTCAGAGTCTCAGCAGGAAACAACTGACACAGACGAGGGCAATCATAAAGGAGTTTTCATAAAGGGGCTAGTCACAGAGTTGTGGACAGGATATAGGATAACCACAAGAAGTGGCTGGTACCTAGTAGCTGGTAAGGACAGGGCTCTATTAACATCCCTAAGCTGGAAAGGGCAAGAGAACGGAACAATTGTTGAAATCCAGAGACAAGAAAGGAGAGAATTGCATTCCAAGAGCTGGGAGGTCAGCGGTAGCATTCTGCAAGAAATAGCCAGAACTAAACTTATTTCATGTCCAGGATCCCCATTGACCAAACCCAACCAGACACCAGAAGGCAAGGACACCTATTGATGTAGTTCATACTGATTAATGTTACTAGGTTCAGCAAGGTAGAGAAAGTAGGTCAGTTGGGGCAAATGGAAACTATCCAGAACTATTCACCCCTTGTGTTTCTCAGAATCTACTCTTGTCAGTCGCCTGGGCAGAAAGTTCATATCCCTGAATTCTGTTGGCTACTATACTTGGCATTGGGTATTAAAGCATTGATGTTCCCACCTAGAGTCTAGAACAGTTGCCTTCACAAGTATTCTTCATATAAGATGGGTCATGGGGCTCTTGGGAGGAAAGCACACACACAAAAATTAACCTAAAAGCCCTAGTTTCCAGAGGGGGAACACTTTTGCCAGTAAAGTAAGGGTCCCATTGAGCTTTATGATTGCTTGGAGACCAGCACATGAGGAAAAGAAGTCACCATGGCTTCTGGCATGTGCCAGAAGATGTGGGGCTTTTGTTGCACGGTAAGGGCAGAGCAGACATTTGGCATTCAGGTAATCCTCTGGAATTTCCCCCCCCCAATTTTGTTGATAAATAAATGTAGCAGGTGTATCCTGAGAAGGGGATGTTGACCAAGTGTTCAGACTCCTCAGGGGTGAGGATCTGGATCATCCCTCCAAGTAAGCCGCCTGGTCCAGCAGAGGTCATAGTCAAGGGTGAAGGGAATCTAGATGGGATAGAAGTGTGATGATTATCAGTTGTGGGGCACCTGGGTGGCTCCATGGGTAGAGTGCCGGACTCTTGATTTCAACTCAGGTCATGATCTCGGGGTGGTGAGATTGAGCCTTGTTTGGGACTCCATGCTCAGTGTGGAGTCTGTCTCTTTCTCCCTCTGCCTCTCTCCTCACTCATGCTTGCTCTCTCCCTCTTTCTCTCCCTCTCCAATAAACAAAATCATATATAAATATATATAAATATATTAAATATATATATTGCTTCCCTGGAGAGGAAGAAACTTAAGAGAGTAAGGAAGAAGCTCCAATACATTTTATGGCCTCATGTATGACATACCATCATTTCTGCAGGATTGAGTGTATCATCTGGGTCATGTCTGATTCAATGTGGGAGGAGACTGCACAGGGCACAAATACCAGGTGGCAAGGACCCTTGATGGCCATCTTGCAGGCTAGCTGATGCACCCACTTCTTCTCTAGGCCACTATTCCTTTATCAGGCCAGAATTCCTTTATTCTGCTCCACTTTTCTCCTGAGAGCCTGGTTTCAGGGTAGCTGTTTGGAGCCTTGTGGATTCCTACGTGGGGGCAGAACAACTTGGAAGATCTCCTTTTCCTCTTTACTATTTTTTATTCCTCTCCCATCTCTATCCCTCTCAGTCTTGACCCCAGCTCCAGCCTTTCTTGCCCACTAGTGTCCTTTGAGTAGATGTTCTGAGGATCAGCTGGGGATGCAATGGATAAGAAGAGTCTGCTAGGGCAGGAAATGTTGGAGGAAGCTTTGCTTCCTGAGTCCCTGTCCCCTGAATAATGGGAGCTTGGGCTCTGCTGGCTTATCAGGACTATGATTGTCTTCCTTATTCTGACCCTGGGGTCCTCACTATTCCTCAGGACAGGGGACACTAGGTTTGATGGGGACCTATCTATCCACTATAACCTGGGAACAGAGATATCTGTATTGCAAGAGGAAGCTGAAAAGTTGCCTGCTGGGGTTCAGATTGTTCCTTGTATTTGGAATAAAGGATGGGGGTCACCACAGAGGCAGTCATCTTATGCTGCGAAAAACTTGAGGGATTTGAATGGTGGTCTTCTCTCCTTATTTGGATAAGGGTGCTGCTTGCTGACCCTTCTATCAACTTCTGTTTTTGTAATAAAAGGGAAGAGATGCAGTTTTCTGGGAATGCTTGACACCCAGGTTGGAGAACCTGGAGGGTTGCCTGTTGAAACTGGTATTGCTTGCCTTGGGAGAGACAGGTTTACTCTTTGCTGGGGTACTCCTATCTCTGGTCTGAGGGAGTAAAGGGAGGCAAGCTGGGATTTGTGTTGATAATGGTGTGACATTTGCTGGGGCTCTTGCTCCTTTAGTGTGTAGGGGACTGTAAATTGCTTTTTGGTGTTTCCATCATTTCTAATCTTGGAGAGAGAACAAATTATTTGCAGAAGCTTCCATCATCAGATGGAATCCTCATGATGTTGGGGGTAACTGGAAAGTATGAGGCTGGAGCTCCTGTTGTCTCTGGTGATGGGGGACTGTAAGGTCACTGCCTGCCTGGGGCTCCCATTTTTCAAGTGTTGGTGTGATAGGGAGGGGCCCCTGGAGGGAGGTCCCATTGTGTTTAATTTGGGGAGAGGATGGGGGGATAATTGCATGGGATTCCACTTATCTCTAGCTATGGGGACTGAGGAAGTCTTTTTATATAAGCCATTTTTATCTATTTTGGGGGGAACACAAGAAGAATCACTTTCTGGGTCTCCCCTTGTCAATATTGTTGGTATAGCTGAGTGGGTCAGTGGACTGGGGCTCCCCATTGTTTAGTGTTGAGGAGAGCTGAGGAGTCACTGATGGGGCTGCTGTCACTTCTAGAATTGAAAGTGAGGAGGGAGGTACTTGCTGGAGTTCTATTGTTTCTAGTTTGGGGGCATGGGAGGTCTTGCTTGCTCAGACCCCATCATTTGTTTGGGGATGACATTTGCTATCTAAGGTCCTGTTGTCTCTAGTTTTGGATGGGACTTGTCATCCTTTGCTAGGGCTTCTGTCTTTTCTACTGTTGGATGTAGATTGTGAGCATCACTTGCTGGGGCTTCCCATAATCCTAGTCTTGGGGAATGGACTGGAAGCTCTCTTGCAGTGGCTTACATCATCTCTAGATTGGGGGGATCAGTTCAATATGTTTTTAAAAGCATTTTGTTTTGAAAAAGTCTAGGCTTACAAAGAAGTTGCAAAACTATACAGGGTTCTTTTATACAGTCAATATTCATTTATATTTACTTACATTTTGTTTCCTGCAAATGTTTTGTTTCTTGATGCTTGGGAGTTATGTGTCTGAAATGATTTTCCTTCAGCCTCAAAACTCTCTCTCTTTTTAAAGACTTATTTATTGGAGAAAGACAGAGAGAGACACATGGGGCTTGATCTCATGACCCTGAGATCATCACTGGAGCCGAAATCAAGAGTCAGCTGTTTAACCAACTTGGGCTGCCCAGGAGACTCAGCCTGAAAATTCTCTTTCGCTTTTCTTGAAGTGCAGTCCTGCTGTTGATTATTTATTTCAGCTTTTGCTTTTTAAAAACCTCTGTTGGAACACAACTTCAGTTTGTCTGCATTTTCGAAGAATATTTTTCTTAGGTCAAGGGACACCTGGATGGCTCAGTGGTTGAGTGTCTGCCTTCCACTTGGGTCCCCATCCCTGGGGCCAGGGATTGAGTCCCACATCAGGCTCCTTGCGGGGAGCCTGCTTCTCCCTCTGCCTATGTCTCTGCCTCTCTCTCTCTCTCATCTCTCTCTCTCTCTCTCTCTCTCTCTCTCTCTCTCTCTCTCTCTCATGAATAAATAAAATCTTTAAAAAAAACTTTTTTCTTAGGTCATTGAATTTTACACTGGCAGTTGATACTCCCCCTCCCCAACCCTTTGAATGTCATTGTTTTCTTGCTTCCATAGTTTCTTTTGAAAAATTTTCAGTCTATTGCTTCTTTGAAAACTACAGGTCCTTTCTCCGGCTGATTTGAAGATTTGCAGCTTGTCTTTCATTTTCTAAAAATTTTCCATATATTCTCCATTTTTCTTAACCTATTATTCATAGTTATTCTGAAGTCTTTGTCTGCTAAATTCACTATCTAGTCTCTGATTTGTATATCCCTAATTGAGAGAACATCTTCCTGCTGCTTTGCATTAGTACTCTTGTTTACTGGATCTTGTGAATGATATATTTGGTAGAGGCTCTTAATTATGTGTGGTACCTTCCTCTAAAGATTAGGTTTTGTTATGGCAGGCAGGTATGGTACTGATAGATCACCTTGAGCCTATGAAGGCTAGGTTTTAGCCTATAAAGCACAGATCTAGTTCGGTTTGGAACTGACTTCTAAAATGCAGCCCTTACTTGTAGTGCATGGTATTTACTTTGGGGGTGGGACATTTCTAGGGACTTAACTGAAACCCACTAAGTACATACTTTTGTATGCATATATTTTACTAGGGTCATTCCACTCCAGAGGAGTCCAAAATCCAACCTCTGAGTCATGGCATGTGTGATCTCTTAAATTTCTGCACAGCCTCCAGCTTTCAATAGCTACTGTCTTCTAAGCCTCCTAGTCTTCCTCTGTATATGCACAGCTAAGGTATTATTTAAGGACCTAAGGTAATGTTTTAG